AATTTAAATTAAAATTAGGTAATCCTTATTCCTTAGAGATTCAGAATATTTATTGAATTATTTCATTTATTAATACAGATTTTTCAAATTGATTTTTGAGTTTAAATCACAAATCAAATCTTTATTTTATTTTCCTTATTAATAATAATTGTTACTTTTAATTTAAATAACAAACCAAATTTTTTTATAATAAAAATAAAAATAAAATTTAAATATAATCACACATCAAATCTTGATTAATTTTTTATATTAAATCACACACGCAGATTGGTTCACAATCCAAAACTGTAAAAAATTAAATCACATATCACAAATTTTATTTATTTTCTTCTATCAAATCACAATCCAAACCTCCAAAAAAAAAAATCACAATCCAAATTGCATAATTAATTAATTAAAATGCAATAATTAAATTTTTTTCCCATATAAAATTCTAAATCTAGCCTTTTAATTGGTTCCCACCGCCTCAGTTTCCATCGTTCTAACGCAACAACGTGAGAGAGACAGAGAAAGAAGAAACCTTATTTGTTGTTTTTCTTGTTTACCTTGTTGTTCTGTCCGATCAAACACTTCACTATTTTTTTTTCTTTCTCTTGTCGATCTACTCGACTTGTTTTCCAGCGAATTTTCCTAGGAAAATCTGGAGAACCGATAAAAGATGAAGAGAGTAAGGGATGAGGCTCCTCCAAAGAAAACGGTTGAATTTGAAGAAGCTATTAGTTTTGTGAACAAGATAAAGAAACGATTCCAAAGTGATGAGCATGTTTACAAATCGTTCTTGAACATTTCCAATATGTACCGCAAAGAGCATAAGGACATAGGTGAAATTTATAGTGAGGTTGCTACCCTGTTTAAGGATCATCGAGATTTGCTTGAGGAGTTCACTAGATTCTTACCAGATAGTTTCGCAGCACCTTCTACACAGCATGCTCCGGATGCTCGAAATTCATTGCAGCGCTTTAGTGAGCGGAGTTCTATGGCACCCATGATGCGGCAAATGCAAGTATATCGACGAAATAGGCTTCCTTCTCATGATCGTGAGCGTGATCTGAGTGTTGAACACCCTGAGATGGATGATGACAACACAATGATGAACATGCACAAGAAGCGGAGGAAACGTGAGAGTAAGGATATGAGGATTAATCGTGATCAAGATGAGAGAGAACCTGATCATATAAATGCTCAACAATTTCTTGAGGTATCCATTTCTCCCCTTTTTAACGGTTTTATTGGATGGTTCTTTCTCTCTACATTTTCATTTTCCTAGCTCATGGGGTTGGGTTTGCTAGAACTAATCTGACTCATAACTTATTACCCCAAAGTTATTGCTGATTATTTAGGACGAAAATGTTGTTTTCTGTTAGTTGAGTGTAATGCAGTTTTCTCAATCAACCTAGTTAGTTTGAGTATAAGAAGGAATTGGAGTGAATGTAAACTTATTTATATAACAGAATATAATTTTGTGACTGAGTAGGTTCCTTTTTTATTTTTTATTTTTATTTTTTAAGTTTGTTCTGTTTTTTTTTCTTTGTACGTTTCGTCTGTTCTAGTATGTGTTTATGTTTGTTGAGTAAATGTAAGTATGAGAGAGAGAGGGAGAGAGAGAGGATGAGGAGGAGAAAGAGAGAAGAGATCAGAGAAAGTTTCTGAGTGAGAACTGTGTTATTGACTTAAGATTAAACTGATTACAGTGTCCCCCCAGCTCAGCAAATCTAACTTCTAACAGAACCTGAGCAGGCACGAAACAAACTCTTAACAGTTCAGAAACTATATCACAAAACACAGAGTTGTCTTTTGCAGTATATATAGAAAGGATACTGATGCAGAGTAAATCATATGCGTTTACTCTATTATAGGCATTACATTTAAGAGAATAAACTTTAATTTAATATATAAGAATGTATTCTTCTTTTTTGCCCCTTTCTTTCATTCCCTATTTAGTACAGACGGCTTGTAATTCTTGATTTGTTTTTAAGATGGAAATTGTTATAGGATTCTTTGATGGACAACGATTAAAGTGCCACATTTTTTGTAAAAAATTATCTGAATGTCACATTTTGTAAATTTTTGTTCATAATGTCACGATACCTAACTCGCTTACAATACCTGGTGAGTTAGGCGTTGTCACATTTAGATGGGCGAACATTATTTATAGAATAAAAAATAATAATATTGTAAAGACTCATGTGAGATTTTTGTCAATATAAAATAATAACAGCAGGGATTTGAACTTGCAGCGCTTTCATGAGAAAAAGAAATCTGTCAAGAAAGCTGAAGGTTTTGGGTTGGCTTCAGACTTTTCTTCTAAGGAAGACAAGGATACCTTAAAGAACATGTATAGTCAAGCATTCAGTTTCTTTGAGAAAGTTAAGGAGAAGTTGAACAGTGCTGATGACTACCAAGCTTTCTTGAAGTGCCTTCATAATTTTTTCGTCAGTGAAATAATAAAAAGGAATGAATTGCAAAATTTGGTAACCGATTTACTTGGAAAGCATCTTGATCTTATGGTGGAATTCAATGATTTCTTGGAGTGTTTGGAAAATATTGATGGGTTCCTTGCTGGTGTCATGAGTAAAAAGTCACTAAGATCATCAAAGTTGGAGGACAAAGACAAAGACAAAGAGCAGAAGCGTGAGATGGATGGAGCTAAAGAGAAGGAAAGATACAGGGAGAAGGAGTACATGGGAAAATCCATTCAAGAACTTGACCTCAGTGACTGTAAACGTTGCACTCCCAGCTACCGGCTTCTACCTGCTGATTATCCAATTCCTACAGCTAGTCAGAGATCTGAGCTTGGTGCTCAAGTATTGAATGATCACTGGGTATCTGTGAGTTCAGGAAGTGAGGATTACTCTTCCGAACATATGTGCAGGAATCAGTACGAAGAGAGCTTGTTCAGATGTGAAGATGACAGATTTGAGCTGGACATGTTATTAGAGTCTGTGAGTTCTGCAGCTAAACGTGCAGAGGAATTATATAATAACATGAATGAAAATAAGATCAATATGGAGACTCTGAACCGTATTGAAGATTACTTTACTATTCAAAATTTAAGGTGCATTGAACGTCTATATGGTGACCATGGTCTTGACGTTATAGACATATTGCGTAAAAACCCAACTCGTGCGCTCCCTGTAATATTGACTCGACTGAAGCAGAAACAGGAGGAATGGAGTCGGTGTCGTTCAGATTTCAATAAAGTTTGGGCTGAAATTTATTCTAAAAATCACTTAAAGTGAAGCAGCAGAAAGAGGATGATATTCTTCAGTCTACTATTGCAGCTGGAAACAAATTAGTTCGGTATTCATGTGATATGAGAGTATGAATGAGGCTGATGGTAGAGTAACTGAGGTAAAGAATGTTCACCGGACTAGTGTAGCAGCCAGTGATAAAGAAAATGGATTATTTTTTGGAAGCTTCACAAGCTTCCACAAGCAGCCAGTGATTTTGGTTTTTCTGTTTATGTTTACTCACTTCAATTCTTTTTCATTACTGGTTTAATGAATTTTATTCAAGGTTAAAATAATAATAATTAAAATTGGTTCTTTTTCACTTCAATTCTTTTTCACTTCGGTATACGGGGTTCTATTATTTTTGTCACTTCAACCTTTGAACCGGAAAGAACAAACTCAAAAATTGAGTTTTTTGATCTATCTACAAATGTTATTATTTGTTTGTTTTATAAATCAATATGTAAAAAGTTCGAGTAATAAGGGACTCGATTATATTTAAGTGAAGTCTTAATTGTGAAAACGAAAAAACAGACATTAAGAGAATATTGTTCCTTTTGAGTAAGTTCACTCGACTCAACTCGAAATAATTGAAATTCAATGTATTTTTTAAATACTAAGAGTTTCTGGAAGAAAAAAAGTTGCGGGTTTTTTTCTACCAATTGGGGCCCTCCCTTCACCACCCCTTTGTTTTATAAAGAACAATGGACTATCAAGCCTCTCAGTTGGGGCGGTTATATTTATTATATTTTAGACGTACCACCCTTACTATCTAATTATTTATCAAAGTCGAAATCAGCAATAGTTTTTTTTTTCTTTCTATTTTTTTATTATTGATTTCAAATTGATATAACAATAACCAATCAAATAATAAGAGTGATAAGTCTAAAATAATAATAAATATAACTTTCTCCGCTTCTCAATTCGCTATAACCTTTTTTTCTCCATCCTAACCAAGTTAGTACTCTCAATTTGCCGTTGATTTTAGAGTACATAAAACATCTGGTGTGATTATGCACGTCAAAATTTTGTTCCGGCACACGCTATGCCATTTGTTTGATATGCCCTCGGTTACAATACTATTCTTAAGAAGTAAATTATTTTGAGATGATCAACATTATATTCATTTCGCTAATTACCATTTTCAAATAAAATACTTACATATTCATCATAGTTTAATGAGGCTACTATCCTCCAAAGGTCGCCCAAAACTTTTTACCTCAATAATAATAATAATTTTACAGTTGAATATAATATTTTCAATTATATGTTTTGGATTGAGAGTATGAATCGATGATAGAAATATGAATTATTTAAAATAAATAAAAATATATCGCTAAGCATATTTTTGAAAAAATGATAATTAATTAAAAATATCATGATTCATGAAGAAGTAATTATAAGGTCTAAACAGTAACTTCAGTCATCATAACCACAACTAACAAATATATACAGATTATAATTTATACATAATCGATACATTATTTTGCCGTGTGAAATTTTCCAAGCTCAATACTGTTAACACACAAATTGCAAGTTCTTCCTCACACATAACTTCCATGTAGGGATTTAAATGGATCAAATGGTCTATTAAGTGTTTATAATTCGGTCTAAGTAGGTTAGGTTTGACCTAGCTAATATATTTAGTAAAATAAAATAGGCTTGGACCTCAAAAAAAACTTGTTTAGAAAACATTTCCTTTTACAAATATTGACCTATACGTCAGTATATCGTATTATTTAATTGGAAGCTGATTGCTCTCATCTGGTGATGGAATTGTGCTCTGGGGGAAGACTTGTCGACCAGATGTTTAGGGAGGGCCCTTGTTCTGAACAGCGGGCTGCTAATATACTTAAGGAAGTGATGTTGGTCATCAAGTATTGTCATGATATGGGAGTTGTGCACAGAGATATCAAGCCTGAGAATATTCTGTGTAAAATTCCATCCTAGTCATTCTGTTAATAAAAAATGTCTAGGCAAGTTTGAAGAAGTTCATCATGATGAGCTTTCAACTGAATTGTACTTTACTAATGTTACCCTGTACATAGGAGTAAAAATTGGAGAGTTCAAATGGTCATCTCCCTTAAGTTTACTATGTTCAGTATTCAATTAAATTTGCTAGCGGTCTAAGAATAAGAGGTCCTAGAGAAAATGCTTATAATAGTTTGAAGCTAACCATTCATACTCTAAGGTCACTTTGTTTAATTTTTAAGCATTTAAAAATATCAGTAATTCAATTGACATATATATAAATACACACACATAAGTAAAAGATACATACATGCATACATGAGTAATTTATGCATAGCCTCATTGTCTAGAAATTTGCATTGCAGGTCAGAACTTGACGGGTTTGGCTGGGAGCCCTGCATATGTTGCACCAGAAGTGTTGTTGGGTAGATACTCAGAAAAGGCGGATATATGGAGTGCTGGAGTGCTCCTGCATGCTCTGTTGGTTGGTGTTCTTCCATTTAAAGGGGATTCACAAGAAGCAGTTTTTGAGGCTATTAAGAATTCCAAGCTAGAGTTCCAAACCGGGATGTGGGAATCAATATCTAAACCTGCACGAGATCTTGTTGGGAGAATGCTGACAAGGGATATTTCAGCAAGGATAACAGCTGATGAAGTACTTAGTAAGTTTATGGTAGATTATTAATGTTTTGTAGCGTGCTTTATCTCTCTTCCTCAATGATGAATACACCAAAGACTAGTTGTATTTGGTCTGATTTTTTGTTTTTTAATCTTGAAATAATTAAAATTAGAAATTTCCAAGTTTTGTTGAAAAGTATCTTTGCCGTTCACATGAATTCTTAATAATTAGAAGGATTGCCTTGTTTTGGTTGGGATAACAGTGGTGGGAATCTGTTAATTCTCACATACTTTTGTTAGTTTTTATTATGTGTTCTTCTATGTGGTTGAGGCTCTCTTTTTCTCCCTAATGTTTTTAAACAGGAAATAAAATGACAGTACTTTTAAGTTTTAAGAACTGTTCGATTGTTTGCATGTTAAATTAATATTATGTGGTTCAATTTCAGGACATCCATGGATATCTTTCTACACAGAACGTACATTGAAGATCCTGCCCGTTGAATCAAAGTTGAAGCACCAAAATGGAGCTGCTTGCCACAACTTTGTTGCTGCACCTGAACCTAGGTTAGGAAGAAACAGGATGGATGATGGGTTCCTTAATGAGGTTTCAAGCCTTTCTTCATCATCTGAAAGTTGCAATTCAGAATATCATGATGTTTGTGTGTGGATTGATGCACTTGCCAATGCAATTTCACATGTAAGGATATCTGAACCAAAGAAGAGCAAGTTGTGGGCAGTTCCAATTCATCAACAAGGTTTATATAACATGAGGGCTAACCTCTGTAAAGCATTTTGACCTACTGACAGGTTGACACCCCATAAACCACTATCTCTGCTGCTTTAGCTGGGGTTTTATAGTATACTTTGCCCAACACATTCTACAGTTGGCAAAAGTGGATTACATTTTTTTCCTCTAAATAATGATTACTGAGAAAACTCAGCTAGTTGTACAGAACCTGTGAATATGATATTAGTGTGTCACTGCATGTTTTTGCTCTTGCTGGAGCATGATAAATAGAATGCTATGATTTCACTTCAGTGAAAACTTGACCTACTCATATGTTTTTTTGGAAGATTTTAATCCGAAACCATGAGTGCATAAGCGTATGTTATCCCTCCCATAACGCTGCATGTGTACTTATTTAGTGTTGGCAATTTGTATTTCAAGACATACTTTTTTGTACAGATGGTAGCGAGGAGTTTGACCTTGAGTCAATTATATATAGCAATGGCGTTTACTTTGAAAATGGAGTTGACAGCTGCTTGCTTATTTTCACTGAAAAAAAAAGGAAAAAAAAGTACTTCTACTTGTGTTTAGAAGAGGCGAATCTTAACTACCAGGGGATAGATTTTGAAAGGCTATAAAATTTAGATTCTTTATCTGTTAAGGTGAGGTTAAGGGGTAATCGAGATAATAGGTAGGAACATATTTAGGAAGAGGGTATAGCTGAAAAAGGAAACATTAGATAATTCAATCCAAACCGAAAAAAAATTGGATTGGATCGGATCAGATCGGATCGGATTTGAAAACAAATTAAAACCGAATGCATGATTATATGATTAAACCGAAGGGATTGGATCGGATGAATTTTGCTTCCAAAATCGATCCAATCCAGACCGCGAACACCCCTAGTGAATCATATGCTCGGAAAAAGAAAGAAAATGTGCATATGCTTTGGAATATATTTTTAACGAAGGAGGTAATTTATTATTTAGATCTCTCATGAGTCATGATGATTAGGATTGGCTCATAAAATGCTAGATTGAAATTAATGTTAAACAAATTTGTTTATTATTAGTTAAAAGAATAGAAAAATATGTAATCATAATAAATTAATTCTAGATTGTAGTAAAAATCATCAAAACATAACCAATCACCAAACTGAATTAATAATTTTTATAAATATAATCAAAACAATTAGTAATTCATGAAAATTGTGAATTTAAAAAAGTTTAAACCCAAAGTTTCTGGTTAGCTCATTACAAGTTGAGAGAAAAGTAAATTAATATGGATTGAATTTTGGTAACTTAAACCAGATTAATTGATAAGTCATGACTCAATTTAACAACTCCGGTATCAATTTAACAACTCCGGTATCGAGGTATAAGTGTTTACCCTCCTTTCGCTTTGAGTCAACTATGTATTGTGGTAAAATAAGAATAAAAATTTCATGGATATATCTTAAACATAATTTACTAATAAAATTGATTCATGAATTTTTGCCCTCATTTTTACTCTCATGGCTCAAAGTATTCCGATCAAATCAGGAAAAAAGAGAGGGATTTAGTGTGTCCTTTTAAAGGACGTAAATATGTCCTTTTAGACATAAATAGTTTTGTCAATAAAGAGAGGACAAATGATATATTTTAATTAAAATACGAGATAATTCTCTTTTTGTTTTTATTAGAAGAATGGGATGATTCTCTATAATTTAACCTTATATTTGGATTGAGGGGAGACAAGGGAAGAAAGTTTTTAAAGTTTCAAATCTTTTATCAATTGACTGAAGAGAAAAAAAAATAAAGGAACTAAAATAATAGAAATAAAAAATTAAAAAAATTAAAGCATGTATGGGAGAAATATGTTTGGACGTCTACTTTTAAAAAGAGTAAAAGTCATAAAAAAAAGTTAAAAATCTTTTTTTTTTAAATGAAAATTTTAGCTTCTAAAAATAACATAAGTTAAAACACAAATATTTTTTCAAAAACTAAATATTTTTTAAAAATCTAAATAACATTAACTTTTATAAAAAGTACTTCTAAAATAAATAAAATATAAAAATATTTTTTTTGAAAACTCATCCAAACAATCACTTATTCTCATAGAAGTGAAACAGAGCACTTTTATTATTATTGTGAATTTAAATTGGAATCAAGGAATGGGAACACCCATTTATCAAGTATATATTATTTTATTTTTTAAAAATTCCTGATATGAATTAAGAGAAATCAAATAAAGGAAATTCAAGAAAAAACAAAGTCAGGTATTGGATGAAGGAAATTCCTAAGATAGAAATTAGGGAACAAATTAGGGAGAAAGTCAAGAAGAATATCAGAAATTTGTGTAAGGAAAAAAGTCCAATATGATGAATATTGAATGGTAATTAACCTGGTATTGACCAATCATAAAGGGGGAATAAATACCAATGATTTTCAGATTTCAAATTTGAATTACCATTTCAAAATCCAAGTTAAAGTTATTCATTAGTATTTTATAACAACTCCTACTTTATACATGTTCAATGTTAATATGATGACAATATTGAATGGTAATTAATATGATGAAAATGAGAAACGTGTGTAAGGAAAAAAGTCCAATTTCGTTAATATGATGACTATTAAATGGTAATTAATCTGATATTGAACAATATAAAGAAGGGAATAAATACCAATAATTTCCAGAATTCAATATTTGGATTACCATTTCGAAATCCAAATTAAAGTTATTCATTAGTTTTTTAAAACAGTTCCTACTTTATACACGTTCAATGCTTTTTCTTATATAATTTGACGATATTCATTTTTTTTCTTACTAGTTCATTATTTTTCTTACCTAATTTGACCCTGTTGATTTTTTTATTCCATAACATGTAATTTGTTATTCCCATGGGATTGGCGGTATCAGATTGATCAAAGTTAAGAGCAATATTAAAAAAAAACTTTTTATCTTTCTTTCTTTATTTTTTAACTTTTCAAAAATTTTAAAAATAGCAGAGGTGAAGATTAACGACCCGTTTGAATGAATTTTTTTTTCAAAAATTGCATTTTATAAGTAAAAAGATATATTTTTCACTATAAGTTATTTTAGATTTCTATTATAAAAAAAGCAAAAATTACAGTTACTTATATAATTATATATAATAAATAAAATTTACTGAAATGTAGCTGGGGCTCCGACCCTACCTAAGCATAATGTGGTTCCGCCACTGATGGGCAAGAAAAAAAAAAAAACCGTCTAACGTCCAAAAGAATGGCTCCACACAATGGCGGAGCCAGAATTTAACTTTAGTTGGGGCAAAAAATTTGACATGTCAAACATTTATCATAATTACACATACCTTTTATTTTTTAATAATATAATATATGATGATTTATATTATACATTTAAAAACATATTCTGAGATCAATTAGAATAATGTTTGGTTCATTACTTATTATGTTGTGGGAGGAAAGTGAAATTTTATGTTTGAAATGTTTATCGAAAAAGTTAGTGCATTTTTGTATGTTTGCTCTGATATATAATCAACGACAATTAGGCTGCGCATGACAATCATTCTGATTCCTGGCATTGTTTCTGAAAAGGAATGATTCTTTTCTATTTCTGTGCCTTGGAACAATTCTGAGAATCAGAATTACGTTTGTTAACATATTTTATTTTTATTCCGAGAATCAGAATTACGTTTGATAACACATTTTTTTTATTCCGATAATCAAAATTACGTTTGATAACACAATAAAAATCTATTTCTTTACTTTTGTTTATAGATTTCATCAACTGTATAAAATTGCAAATGACAATAGATTTTAACCGAAATACTAAATTTTATATTTAAAAAATTATATAAAAATTTATAATATTTTATTATATAGTTTTTTTTACGACAATTGCTAATATATAGTTTTAACTATTATTTTTCAATCGTATTCACAATTCACATTTTTTTTTCTCATTCCCTTGACCATTTTATTTTTTAATATCATATGCTAATATATAGTTGTCATGCCTTAACCTCATCTTTGGATTGAGAGGAGAAAATGGAAAAAAGTTTTTAAAGTTTCAAATCTTTTCTCAATTGACTGAAGAGAAGAAAAATAAAGCAACTACAATAATAGAAATCAAAAATTAAAAAAAAATTAGCGTCATCTCTTTCTTAATCTTTTCTCTCATTTTCTTCCATGTCATTAAAAATTTATTAGGGCCGTTTGGATGGATTTTTCTCTCTCAAAAAGTTGTCTTTCTTCAGAAAAAAAAAGCATGTATGAAAAAATATGTTTGGACGCATGCTTTTAAAAAAAGCAAAAGTCATAAAAAAAAGTCAAAAATCTATTTATTTTTTTAAACTGAAAATTTTAACTTCTAAAAATAACATAAGTCAAATATTTTTTCAAAAACTAAATATTTATTAAAAATTTAAATAACTTTAACTTTTATAAAAAGCACTTCTAAAATAAGTAAGGTATAATTTTTAATTTTTTTGAAAACTCATCCAAATAAACACTTATTTCCGTTGAAGTGAAACAGAGCACTTTTATTATTATTGTGAAGGAATGGAAACACCCATTATCAAGTATATATTATTTTATTTTTAAAAAATTCCTGATATGAGTTGACAGCAATGGCGTTTACTTTGAAAATGGAGTTGACAGCTGCTTGCTTATTTTCACTGAAAAAAAAAGGAAAAAAAAGTACAGCTACTTGTGTTTAGAAGAGGCGAATCTTAACTACCGGGGGATAGATTTTGAAAGGCTATAAAAGTTGAGATTCTTTATCTGTTAAGGTGAGTTTAAGGGGTAATCTAGATAATAGGTAGGAACATATTTAGGAAGAGGGTATAGTTGAAAAAGGAAACATTAGATAATTCAATCCAAACCGAAAAAAATTGGATTGGATCGGATCGGATCGGATTTGAAAACAAATCAAAACCGAAGGGATGATTATATGATCAAAACGAAGGGATTGGATCGGATGAATTTTGCTTCCAAAATCGATCCAATCCAGACCGCGAACACCCCTAGTGAATCATATGCTCGGAAAAAGAAAGAAAAGGTGCATATGCTTTGGAATATTTTTTTAACGAAGAGGGTAATTTATTATTTAGATCTCTCATGAGTCATGATGATTAGGATTGGCTCATAAAATGCTAGATTGAAATTAATGTTAAACAAATTTGTTTATTATTAGTTAAAAGAATAGAAAAATATGTAATCATAATAAATTAATTCTAGATTGTAGTAAAA